TTTATATGCTTGAAAATGTTTTATATATTTGATTTTMTTTTTAAATTCTCATTTGAATATGCTTTACATRTTATATTTATGTATTTTAATATTAGATAATAGGTTTTTTAAAACATTTATTTTAAAATTAAAGTTTATATTTTTATTAATATTATGTTTAATAATTTTTTTGATATTTTGTATTTTTTGAATTTTTTGGCATTTTTTTTTAATGTTTTAGCTTTTTTTTTTTTTATCTTGTGCCTTGCTTAAAAAGTCGCGTCCTTCGCCTTGCACCTTGCGCCTCAGGCGCAAATTGACCCCTGCGCCTTGCGCTTTTAACACACTGGTCCCAATCTAGCATGTGGATGAGATGCTGTAAATCCCCTGCTGATGTACTTGACTTCCTTTTCTTTTTCAGCTTTACTTGTAATATATAGTCAATTGAAAATTTCTGTTAGAGTGGAGTCACTCTAGAATGTCATGTCATTGGTGAGTGGGTATCATTATATTTTTATCTTGAGACTGTTTTCCGTTCTATTTGGGTGAAAATTTTTCCACCTAAAAAGTAAATATATTCAATTACAATAAGCTTTAAATCACCCTTCAGCATGCTGTGTTTTATTGATTATTGAAGAAGCATAGATATTTTTTTTAATTTAATTTCAAGTTAACATATTCTTGGTTCTGTTTAATATACTATTGTTACAGATGCCATCCCTTCAACAAAGGCCATGTTTTTGCAAATAGTTGTTGCAATGAAGGCCATGCCTTGGTATTGTCTTCTTCCAACACTTTCAGAGTACATGGTTGAGAATGGCTGGACAAGGTGTTTCTCTAGAATAAGTGATGTTGGCTGGCCTCTCTACCTTCTGTATTTGGCGGTTTATTTAGCCATTGTCGAATTTGGGATTTACTGGGCACATAGAGAGTTGCATGACATAAAACCATTATACAAATATCTTCATGCAACACATCACATCTACAATAAGCAGAACACACTCTCTCCATTTGCAGGTAAGTTCCAACTTTCTCGTTCATTCAATTTCCACTCTTTTGTTCTGCCTTATATGCTGGTTGTCTGTTTATGTGAAAGTTGACTTTTCTTCATTTATAATGCTGTTCTGAGCCTATGGAACTAAAATTCTCAATGCAAATTCTAGCCTGTGCATATGGCTAAAGATCCGGACAATTAAATGATATTTGATATTGTAAGATATCTATCTACCTTTTCTAAAACATGGAAGTAGGATTTCAAGATTACCATTTATCATCTGTTGGCCCTAGGCCCTATGATTGATCATGGATGCTGTAAGCCAACCATTTTACAAATCCAGTAAAAATGACGAGACTGAATGCATGGTTTTCTTAGACTTGCAGATTTGAATTTTGTCCCATCAAAATCTTACATATGCTGTAATGGATATCATTCTCTAGGGTGTATAAGCCGCTTCCTTGAAAGTGGAAATTCAAGTTCTGCAAGATATAATGCTAGTAGGTCTTTCATTATTATAATTATCATATGGTTTAACCATTCTTGCTTATGCACTTTATGAAATGAGAAATTTATGTTTGAAACTTAATACAAATTAATACCAGTAGACTGGGAATAAAATCACAAGAAAGTATAGATTTCAAAGTTCTCTTCTAGTATAAGCTAGCCATAATCCTCGCATTATGTCAGAATCAGCTCTCTGTTTCTTTTTCAGGTTTGGCATTTCATCCACTGGATGGGATACTGCAGGCAGTACCACATGTAATAGCATTCTTTCTTGTGCCAACCCATTTCACAACTCACATCATTCTCTTGTTCTTGGAGGCTGTATGGACGGCAAACATACATGACTGCATCCACGGCAACTTATGGCCTGTCATGGGTGCTGGCTACCACACAATTCACCATACAACATATCGACATAACTATGGCCATTACACGATATGGATGGATTGGTTTTTTGGAACTCTTCGTGACCCTGACTTAGACTCACCTGACAAGAAAATGTGACATGAAGTGCATGCTCACTCGTGCAGAAGATCAATAGCCTTGAGGCTGTTTGTTTAGGCCTAAACCGGACGAGCTCTATAGTTTTGTCCTCTTCTCTCTTTTTATTTTGGTTGAACTGTTGTTTTGTTGAGTTTGTAGCTTGGTGTAAATCATGTTGGCTGAGTTGCTGCAGTTTTCTTATTGCTGCAGTTTAGGCCTAAACCGGACGAGCTCTATAGTTTTTGCAGTATTCGTGTTTAGGAAGTTACTTGGAGGTGCAAAAAAGAAGTGTATTTTTTAAGTAGGTTCATGATTCTGTCATTATTTGGGTTACCTTCTTTCTCACCTGTCTGACCCAAAATTGGAGCACCTCTTGGATAATGTATAAAATCAAAGAACTTACCATATATTTGACCTAACCAAGTTTTCTTATTGCTGCTGTTTTGGATGTGACACTGACACTGAATTGTTGATGGGACGGGGGGCGTTAATACACCCATGATTCTAGCATAAGTTAACCTTGTCATGGAAATTCGCTCTTTTGTTACAATTGGTAACAATGTGAAACTTGCATCGGTTTGGCCATGTGCCTTAAAGGGCCTTTTAAGCAGGGCAAGGCGTTAGGGACGCTGTATAGATCAATTGAGCATTAGAGTGCAAAGTTGGTTTTTCTAAGTTTGCATATTCATTTAGTGTATAACCTGTGATTCAGTCATCGGGTTGAATGAGTTGACAGTTTAACTGCCTGGATTGAATGGTTTTTAATTATTGTCTAGGTTTTATTAAAATTGGACTTAGAATCTTGGCCGGATGATGGTTTGAATGATTCAACCAATTGTGCCAACGGTGGATTGAAAACATTGAGTATCATTCATTTTCGAAGAAGAAAAACACCTAGACTTTGTTGGTTTGGTCGAATGAAAACTATATTGGGAAGACAATAAGTGGTACGGATTGATTCATTTGTTTTGATGTATAACTTAAATTGGGCAATCTATGGTCTTTTTTTTTTTTCAAGGATGTGTTCTGTTTTGTTGTTTTTGTCATTGTAGAGGAATGAGAGTGGAACATGGAGGTGGGCAAAAATTGGTGGGTTCTACTAGGAACCAAATGGAAATGACTCTATCCAATCTAGTACTGAGTAGGGTTTGGTGCCAGATTCTTGGAACTGACCCCTCATCCAAGTTGGTTTTAGGGTCAGGGGGTTTATCCCTACCCGAACTTACTCGGAGAATCAGCATTGAAACCAAACTTGTCTTGAAATAAATCCTAAAAAAAAATTAAGAATGTAAAGATTTGAATCTAAGTATTCATGGTTATAAAAAGCACGTCCTTACTTGATAATTGAGTCAGTGATTTGATCAATTTTCTTTCATTTAGAAGGCATTTAGTACAGTGGTGTTGCATTTTGGGGCAACGCAAGACGGGGTAGCACGTCCCTGAAAATCATCACGAACAATTACGCTAAGATTGAAAGGAAGAGCTCTTGGGTTGAAAGGGAGATGAGTATCTCTGACATTTTGCGGTTCTCAAGCTAACTAGTTTGCAGCTTGGTTGGCCTCACGGTAAGAATGCTGGTAGTTCACTTCCACCTTGTACAGTCTCTTGATCTGTAAACAATCGTTGATGATGCTCTTCGGTTTCCACGGAGGGTCGATAACCTGTTGTAAGCCAAGATTGAGTCCCCCTCAATGATAACAAGGCAACCACTAAAATTTAAAGCCAGATTGTGGGCTTCCCAAGCGGCCCATGCTTCAACCAAGTTTTGGCCTTATCAATAATAGTTGGAGGAGGAAATGTCACATTGTTAAAAATTTTGTGATTTCTACTCTTCCACAAGAAGGGCAATTTTTTCCCTTCTCATAGCTTTCATTTCCCTTACATTCCTCACAAATTCTTGACCACTAATCTTTTAGGCTATGTTTGATTTGAAGGAAAAGGTAGGGAAAAGAAGGAAAAGACAGGGATATATAAGGTTTGTAAAGGTTTTCCTAGCTTTCCCTTCCTTTCCATGCATTTCCCTTCAAACCAAACATAACCTAAGGCATCATTCTCTTTTGGCCCTATATATTTATCAACAAAGCTGATCCAGGTTTGAGTAGCCAAGCCACAACTTTTGAAAACATGCTCAACACTCATCCTCCTCACAGTGATTACATGCTCCATCTATATCAATCCCTTTCTTTCTTAGCAGAGAATGAGATAAAGAAATGTTTTGACTTTTTGGGGACATTTAAGTTTCCAAACATTTGAATTTCACCTATAGGAAGAATTAGAAACTGAACAACACTTGGAGTATGCCGTTTTGATTGAGAAAACACCACTTGGGCATAGATTCCAAATAATATTGTCCTCTTTATCCTTCTTTGGAATGTAAATGGGCTTTATGCTTTTCCATACTATAAGAGGAACTGATCTTCTAATCTTGTCTTCATTACCTAGTGATGTAGGAATATCTGGCAAACCTGCAGATCTTGACACATGGCGTCGGTTGGATGCATCTTGGCCGTCCATCATTAACTACTATCAACCACTCCCAACTGCTACACTTCTAAGGCAACTCTGGCTATAAAAGGGGCTCCCACAATGAGGTAAAGACACATAAACTTAAGCTCTCCTCACTTGCTTGGTTTGACCCCTCACAGTCCTCGACTAACTTGATCGTCAGAATTTTCGCCCCTGGGATAACTCCTAGGGCCTCTGATATCTTCTTTGACTCAGCAGGTTGGACCTGTCAGCTTTAGACACGAGAAATTATGTTGTTGCCCTCAGCTCCGTATTTAACAACAATAATTAGTGCTGTCTATGGGAAACATCTTCAAGACTTTCTCTTAAGAAAACAAATTTAACTTAATCAACTAGTGTTTATGAAATTGCTGACAAGCAAGACATCATTCATAATGTTCAAAAGTTAGTCATGATCAACTAGCTCGAGCTGGTCCTGAACAAGCTAGACAATTAGGTCCAGCAATTGGACAATATAGGGTTGTCGACACAAATTTTGTGCTAAATTTGGGGCACAAAAAAATGCAGACAAATTCAAAGAAATTTATTTATTTATTTTTTTTTGCAGAAATGTAAGTGGGATACAAAATCTTTTTGTTTTGCAAAGGAAATCCTCTGATTCTCTTGTCTTGGACAAAATCCAAAAAGCACGACTGGAACTTGCAATTATGAGAAGCTAGTAACGCCCAATCTTGTGTGAACGAAAATTTATTCATGCTCAATCAATGATTAGAACGTGAACAACTGAAAGCAATATCCTCACTTGTAGAACTGACAGAAGCCTTTTGGATCACGGGAATTTGAAAATCAAAATTTCCCCGATTGATGTGGTACGAAGTTGTAGCAATTTTGGTGCTTCGATAGTTGAAGAATTGGAGTATTTGTTCTGTCTTTCTTGATCTTAATGCAGCCATTTTCTTCTCCTTTTTCAAAAGCAACGAAAGCGGTCGGAGACGAATTCGGTAGTTGAAGGGGGGAGCCGAATGAGAACAGCCGAAGGGAGGAGGCTTGTTGTCCTTTCCCCATCTATTTATAATGGGTAGATCCGGCCATGAATTTGAATTCAATTAGCTGGTGTAAATGATACGGGCCCATTAAGATTGGTGATCAATTTGTGATCCCCATTTATTAGGGAAATGGATTGGATTTCCTTCCAATTATTTAGAGCCAAGTGACACTTGGCAAAGGAGGCGGGCCCATGAAGAATTCAGTCCATTAACCAGCCATTAGTTCCTTCCATATTCGGTCCATTAAACTCATATCGAATCCCATATCAAATTCTAGTTGCCTTTTAAATGGGATCTAACAAATCATAATTAAAATTTTGTCAATCTGTCATTTAGTGAAAAGTTCCAATTTGTGATTTTCTTTCTAATTTGATCTTTGTATAAGACCGGTGCACTTGGAAATCAAGTGATTAAATCACTTCCTTTAATTAGCCTTTTTATTAGACCCCACTAGTATCTCTTTGGACTAATAAGCCAACACACTGGATCCCACCTATAAAAATCTCTCCTCTTAGAGGGCCCGCCAATCTCTCATCTTGGGCCCAAAAAAACTATATTCCAACAAGGGTATCTAACAAGATGCCACCCACAGGGTGACCGTCCCGTCGGAAGCCATGAACAGCACAGCGGGCGATCTGCTCATTTTACCAAGAACATGCATGATAAGAATTCACATCTATACCTCAGATGCACATCTTGGCGTGTACTGGGAACATCTCTCAAAATTATATTGGAAGATGTTCTCAATACACGGTTGAGATATGCTGTGGGACGTTTATGGGCCCCTATATGAACTCGGGCGATAGCTTTTGTTCCAATTTGTTTAAACTGGTCTGACAAGAATAATTTAGTATTTACTATTAAACGCGTACGCGTAGGAGATGTTCCCATCAGGAATAATTTAATGCTGTATACCATGGTTTGATCTAAATTGATGGTAAACCGTTGGTCCCATGCATTTGAAACAAGATTAATTTTTCACCAAACCCACCAATCGGGCCCAACTCGTTGTACCTTTCAAGGATTTAAGATATCTAATCTGCAATTTCCGGCCTGGTTCAATAGGACATCCCATGTCCCATGTGGTTCATCTTATATCCACATCCAAGTCAGCAACTCAGCATGTGAAGTAATGGACGAGTCAAACAGAGCATCAACACGCAAGTTTACTAATCAACTTTCAAAAGGACAGCAAGCAGCAGCAGCAGGCGTAGTAACAGCAGCTATAAGATAAATTTGGTGCCGCGTTAACCTCACATCACCTTCCGAGTGGTTACGCCCTCACCTAGTATTGCTATCTGATCGATTTTTCTGTTTTTTATTATCGCATTTTATGTCTGAAATTTTTTGGTAGATCGAGTTTGTACTAAAATTTTGTGATGATCGTTTTGACTTGACGTGAGGCCAAATCAAGTATCGGCATTAGTAATTAATTAGTGAAGATGAGAGAATCATTTGGATCACTTTGTGTACTAAAAGTGAGAAAACTTTGTGTGATTCATAATTTTTCTTTTGTTTTTTGTAGTTGATTTTTAGTCGTTTATTCGTTATGGTAGGTGTGGCGCCTGAAAGCCTGAAACAAAACTAGACCGTTGTGACTTGGCGGGAAAGTGCTCGTGGGTCAGGGTGCTGATATCCTGGAAACTGGTTCATGCTCAAGATTTTGAGAGAGAGAGAGAGAGTACGACTCCACATGTTCAGGAGGACTGGAGGTGCCCAGATGACAATAAGGTTTTGTTTGATTTGAAGGAAAAAATAGGAAAACCTTTACAAAGAGAAAATGTAGGTGAAGGAAAAGGTATAGCCCTCAAACCAAACACAGCCTAAGGATTGTCTAGGCTTCTTATACTCCAAAATAGTTATTGGGCCTTTAATTTGTATTTAGACAGTAAAGCCCACTATAATTAACAACATGAACATACCCGTCCCAAACCCAAAACACCTCCAACCATTGATGAAGGCGGGATTCGATCTCAATTCACTTATGAGTTATGGTTAACCTGTTGATAGTTTAACTTTCGAGAGGTAAGAATCTATATTAATTGCTTATTATTTTTGGTGAACCATCAAAAATGAACAATAAAACAAAGCATGTAAAAAGGCCGAGCCCAATTCTTAATGGGCTCCATCCACTACGGAGCTCATGGATTAATTTTGTGGACAAGACAAGCAGAGCCAAAACCGAAAGCCAGAGAGTGAGATAGATTGGTTTGACTTGCTGGTGGAATGACGTGAACACGTATGATGTAATGCGCTTCCACGTTGTCTATGCTTCCCAGTTATTTCGTCTTCACTTCTAGGTAATTTCTTTTAATTTTTGTTCTATTTTAATATCCTCCTACGGTCTATGGGTTCTCCCGCCCTATATTTCAGCAGAGGGAGCGCCGAGACGGTGGTTACCGCTGATAACAGCTCTCTTCTAAGCTTTTCTCGACACACCCCTTCTCCATCCATCTCTTTGTTGTTTTCCACGCAGACGCAGTTCTTATTTGAAAGAATGGCAGCCAAAAGGCTTCTTGATGATTCCGGTCGGGACCCAGCTGAGCCGGAGGGCAAAAAGATGAAAACCAGACCTTCTTTTGCTGCGTCAGTATTCAATTTTATCCAATATTTCTTGTTTTCTTTTACTTTTTCTCGTGTTCTGTGTAAAAGAAGCCGGTTTTTCCATGCTCTATCCTTCTTCCACATAATAGTTTTCGACTTCTCCATCTCTCTCTCTCTCGCTCTCTGAGCAGTATTTTTACTTATTTTTTTCTTGAAAAATTCAGCTCTTGTGTCTTGTCTAATTTGAATTCAAAATCTGTTATTTCGATACTTTCCGTACATCTGTGTCTTTTCCAAACTCCCATCTGTTATTTGATTTTTTTTTCGTAATCTGTTCTTATGCACTTCAGTGCAACTTATTTTGAAATGCTATATGCTCAATTCACTTGCTTCTTAAGAGAGAGAAAAAAGAAAGAAAAAAGAAAGCCTAAAGATGAGATGTTATGAATGATTTAGATGAATTTACTATTGTTTTGACTTGGGTTTTCCTCTCTCTTGGCAGTGTAATTTCTGAAGCTGTGATGGTGAAATCCTTACAAAACTTCTGTTCAGCCTTGGAGCCATTGATTAGAAGAGTGGTATGTTGAAGAATAAACTCCCATAAAACATTCTTATTCTGAATTCAATAAACTCTTTTACTGACATGGGTTTTCCTCTCTCTTGGATTTTACAACCTTTTAATTTTCGAGTTTGAAGAGACACTTTAAAAATCAAAGATTCCACATCTCCTCCACATATTAATTATTAACACTTCTCACCCATATAATATAGTTTCACCAAACCAACGTTACATCCTTCAATGTTCTATAATTTGCTCGTTTGTTGTTTTTCTGCATTGATATCTACTACTTGCTGTCTTTGGAAGACCAAGTCCATGCAAAGTCTTATTTTATTTTAGGTAAAAGATTAACATTAAATGTCATAACCTAACTTTGTTATATATTTAGGATCTTGCATTTGATTAGTACATTTATTCTTTATTAATATATAATCAATGCTTGGATCGGATTAGTACTAGATAGCCCACCTGTTTTCAACAACTAAAATGGAAATAATCTATATATATGTATCCTGTTTGAACATAAAAGAAAAACAAGATGATCATAAACAAAGAGAGCTAGTTATAAAATTAGAACTATGCTTTTTAGTTTTATATCGCATAACATTCTCTATTTGTTTAGGTGAAAGAAGAGGTAGAACATGGGCTGAGACGCAGTGCACGCTTGCAGCTGCAAAGGTAATATATATATTGATATTAATATATGCTACTATTCATTTATTTTTCAATAAACTCACAAATGCATAACAACTTCGTTTTTAATATCTTTAGATCTCCTTCATTGCAATTCCGAGCACTTGAACCTTCAAGCTACATACTGAGTTTCAGCAATAAGCTTTCACTCCCAGTGTTCACGGGGAGCAAACTTGAAGATGTAGACAACAGACCACTTCAGATCTTTCTCATGAACACTGAAGGCGGTCAGCAGTTTCGGACTTCCCTCCCGCAGCCGATCAAAATAGAGATCGTTGTTCTTGACGGAGACTTCCTTTCTGATGAACGAGAGGATTGGAGCAGTGAAGAATTCAATAACAAAATTGTGCGAGAAAGAGCAGGGAAAAGGCCATTGCTCACCGGAGATGTGGCCGTAACCTTGAGGGATGGGTATGCTTCCATCGGGGAATTCTCGTTTACTGATAACTCGAGTTGGATTCGCAGTCGGCATTTCCGATTGGGTGCAAGGGTGGCTCCGGGAAGTTATCAGGGTGCTAGGATACGTGAAGCCAAGACCGAGCCCTTCATTGTTAAAGATCACCGAGGAGAATGTAAGTTTGTTCTACTCATCAGTCATAACTCTCTTACAATGAATCTGGCTTGTTTTCTAGACTAGAGTATGCTACGATTGGTTCCAGACATTTTAACAAATTCTCTAGTTCCTACCCTTTAAAGCAGATGACAATTGACAAAGACCGGATTACCCGGTTCAGGTTCACAGATGACAGACCAATGAGACCATGGAGAGCTAATTAATTGGGCTTGGGTTTGGGTCGAGAAGTTCAACTTCAACCCATATGGCCATACTTGTTAATTATTTGGGCTTGTCTTTGTCTGATATATCTATGAATAAATCAGGTTCAGCTTCTTGGCTGGTCGAACCTGATTTTTCTTGGCCTATAAAAAAACAAAAAAAAAAGTTATTAGAAAAATCTCGTTAGGTAAAGCCCTTTTTTCTTTTAAATTTCTGAAAAGAGGTAAAACTTGAATCTGGGCCACATGACCCTATTTCGTATGGGCCCCCATGTCTTGCAACCTATTCTATATCGATAATGAAATGATCAGGACAGCCGGACATATTGTTGTGTGGGACCCGGGGGTCAAAGCACAGACCAAATATTATATATTATTGTTGTATGGACGGTGGAAGGAAGGTCCTATCACAGCTCCCTCCTCCAAAAGAAGCCAAAAAGGTTATGGTTGTGAAACCATTTTTTTCTATCCTGGGAGAGAGGCTCTCTTGGTCTTGGATGGAACCCACAAGATGTTGTGTCATGATACTTTCAGTGTGCAACACATGGGCTCGTGGGCCCGACACCACAATTTCGCGTCCTTATGCCTTTTTCGGCTTGTGGGCCGTGGCCTAGACAAACCCTTGGAGTTGGAAATAATCAAATATGAAAGCTTGACTCCGGTCAACATAAAGCGAAAGATTCCATTATACAACTTTTGATTACCGTTTCTATCTTTTGGGAGTCTCTAGAGTTAATCAATCAATTCATTAGCAATTTAGCATGGTGAATGATGGCCATAGATCCTGGGACAGGGATGGTTATATTCAAAAATAAACGAACCTGAATGGCCGAAACGATGATCTTAGCCTATGGAAAGAATAACGGTCTGAGACTGAGCTAGCTATCTCTTAAAAATTAAAATATGAGCCGGAGGCCACTTATCCTGCCATTAATTATACGCCAAATCATCTGCTATTCTTTTGGATCAATTTCAAAATAATTAGTAGATTAAATATTTTTATGTTAAATTCTTTGCTATACAGTATATAAGAAGCATTACCCACCAATGTTAGACGACGAAGTATGGCGTCTGGAGAAGATAGGAAAAGAAGGAGCCTTCCATAAGAAGCTAGCCTCGGAGGCCATTAACACAGTTCAGGACTTCTTGAAGCTCTGGGTTGTTGACTACGCCAAGCTAAGAAGGGTAATTAACCAATATCTGTTGGTACTCTTTACAGATTTAACCTTTAATAATACTGCTATATATATATATATTAATTGTCACTACTGATCTAACTAATGTCAATAACTAAAGGCAATTTCTTAGAAGCTGAATTGTTATATATATGTTGGGTGGCGCAGGTATTGGGCGTGGGGATGTCGGACAAGATGTGGGAAGCGACGATCAAGCATGCCAAGATGTGCCCAGTGGATAACAAGCTATATAGGTGCTTTGGACGAGGCTTCACCATATATTTGAATTCTATATGTCAAGTTGTAGCTATCATGCCTCAAGGCCAGAACTACCAAATCTCCAACTTAACCACTTCTCAGAAGGTATATTTGCTTCGCTTTCAGTTGTTTCAGATGCACCGCACTCTAGCTACATTCCATTAGACATGGTGATCATACTAATTTGGTCTTTCAAACGAAAATTTTCAGGCGCAAGTAGATCAATTGATTAAGGATGCATACAATCAATGGGGTTCGCTGGAAGAGCTAGATGGGCATAATCTATCTGAGAATGCTCTAGTGGCCACTCCAGGTACACAAATGGTTTTTTTGGCTTGTTAATTTGCCTCCTTAGGTTCAGTTTGGAAGGAGTACAAATACAAATATGTGCAGTGCAAAATCTTGTATTTTGTATGTATTTGCACTGTACATATTTGTATTTGTACTCCTTCCAAACTGAGCCTTAAGATTCCATATTTGCATGCCTAAATGAACCAGTTGACTTTTATTACCCCTGGTTCATCAGGGTCTAGTTATTGAGGATTGACGAGGACGACCCATCATTTGGGTACCAACTCTAACTTGTTTTAACTACTCTCTACAGGTTATATGGAGGCGTATTCCACTCAGCATCAAGACCTCACAACATCTATCCAACAGAATGAATTTTTCGATGGTGGATTTGCAGAGCTGGACAACCTACCAACTAATTCACATATGGCATATGATCATGGTTGGTCATAAAATCCAGCATATTTGAACTCGTTTATAGAGAACCAATGCCAATTTCAAGCTAAATGGATTGCAGTAGGAGTAGTCAGTAGTGTAAATCTGTTAATACCATGTAGTTCTCTAGCTAAATGCATCGTATCCTCTCAGTAAGTCGCCGCCCCTTGGTGAAATGTCGTGGCTATGGCGCAAGATGAAGTGATTTGCTCCCGAGGAATTCATTTGCCTTTTTGGTGCTTCAGTAGTGTTCTGTTTACCACTCATCTCATCAAACACAACAGATGAATGCTCATGTAAATGTTTGTTGCCTGGTTTTGTTTTCCTGTTTTCCAACTTTTCCTTTTGGGAGGATTAAAAATTAAAGCTTCAAGTATGGTGGCTAATATCCCACTGTTTTGTAGCAGTAAGCCTTTTGTCTCAAGTCTCAACCCTTTTTGTACTAGTTCCTTGTTAATTGCATAGTGTTTACTTCCTAAATGCAGCACTTTCATGAGAACTTTTACTGATTTTATCTATGTTACTCTACTATGTTTTTCAAATTACTAGTATATAAAAATGAGGATTAACAGCAAACTGTGCTGTGTTATAATGACTACAAAAAGCTTCAATATTGTAAACTGTTGTTAGAATGACCACAACAGTGTTTTCCAATGCATAGTTTGTTAGGCTCAGTTTGGAAGGAGTACAAATACAAATATGTAGAGTTTAAAACCTTGTATTTTGTAAGTATTTGTACTCTTTCCAAATTGAGCCTAAATCGAAATTGTAATTGGTTTGCCTGCTCTATATAATTGAGAAAAGGAGAACCATCCAATTATCCATCTCTTCACCTTAGAAGTTAGAATGACTTAAGGGATCGATCACCTATAAGAAAGTTGGTCTTCTTATCACTACTCCATAACCTTTAGCTAGGGTATTGATGTGGGGTGACCCAACCCAGCCCACGAGCGCTAGATCCGGGAATGAGATCTGCTACAACAAGAGTTACTCTGCTCCTCTCGTACAGAGTCAATCGTGGAGCACCCACGCATCCCCATAGAGCTCTCTGACTGCCCTTGTACGACACCCATCTCAGGCGTTCGTCTCCACTTACCTCTAGGTAGCTCAAATATAAATAGGGGTGCCCTACTCTAGGTAAGGGGAGGAATCTAATACAATCGACATCTGGATCTGGAATTGGCCTCTAACACATTTTGCCTTGTAGCACCTCGGCCACCTGCCTTTAGCTTTTACAACATTCGGAGCCCTCTCCGTCTCGGCCTGCATACCTCGGCCTCAGCAGCAAGCTCTCTAAACCTTCGAAGCCTTCGGCCAGCCTTCGGAGTCTAGGGGTGAAATTACTTTGTTGTCCTCGGCCATTTCGAGCATCAACAATTGGCGCCGTCTGTGGGAAGCGTCACTAGGACATTCCCTAAAAGAACTTTAACAAGCTAACAAGTCCCCAAGCTCCAACCAACCAACATGGTATGAAGAACAAGAAATACACAAAATCTTGTCACCAATGAACAATTCCAGGCCGTGCTCGACCACCTGGAGTACTTGACACAGTGAGTCGTGCAGAACTACCCCCAGGCAGGAGGTCACCCACCCCCAGGGTGACCACCCCGTTGGGGAGTCCACATAGCCGGGCTGGCATGGGTCCACCAGCCAATCAGTCCCCAGTCTCGGCCACGCGCAGTGGACCCTTAGAGTCCGGTAGTAGTCGTCCAACCAACCCGCTCTCCTGGACCTCCAGACCTCCCAGCCGAAGGGAGGAAGAACCGAAATGGTTAAAGGATAGCCGCCAGCCCTCCGAGCAGCATCACCAATTCCAAATGACCAATCCGAGGGACGAAGGCGGATGCCACTATCGCTCCAATGCCCATTCCAAGGCCGAGGGCTGGCGTCGAGCCTCTTCCCCTCATGTCTCGGACCTCCGAGACGTCTTGAACGACCATTGTGCTAAGCGTGAAGCATGCGGTCTCAACTCTAAGCACTCTGGAGTCCGCGTTGAACACCATCGTGTTCGTGAAGACTGGGATGGCACGTAGGGCATGTTTGACCCCATGTTTGCCGAACTCTGAGCCGGGGTCAATGTTGTCAAAGCTGAGCTCCGACAGGTTAAGGAAGGCCGAACTGACACCTCGGTCGGACAAAGCAGCTGCCCAAGGAGAATGGATGCCTTCTTCCTTGACATCATCGCCGAGTATCTACCCCCAAACTTGAAAGCTCCCACCTTGGAGATGTATGACGAGAACACTGACCTGGACAACCACCTGGAGAGCTTCAGGGCGCTCATGATCCTGTATGGATATTCTGATGCCTTGACATGTCGGACTTTCTAGGCAACCTTCAAGGGAGCTGCTCAATGGTGGTTCTCAAGCCTCCCACCTCGATCCATCAACTCGTGGGAGCAGTTTTCCATCATGTTCCTTGCTCGCTTCATTAGTAGCTGGCGCCCCCAGAAAAGCGTTGTCTCGCTGATGATTGTCAAGCAGAAGTGAGGAGAGAGTTTGCGGTCATACATCGACCACTTCAAAAAAGAAGAACTCGAAGTCCGTGACCTCAACCCCCTGGTCTCTATGCATGCCGCTATTAACGGGCTCCTCCCCAGCTCGGCTCTCAAATGCTTCGTTGCCAAAAGCTAGCCGAAGATGAAGCTGGAGTTCCAAGAAAGGGCTCAGAAGTACATTGTCGTCGAAGAGGCTTCGGCTATAGACACCCATGAGAGAGGCACAAAGCACCAGGATGGAACCCTTGAGAAGAAGAGGAAGAACGGAGACCAGGGCTGTAGTAACAGCAACAACAAGAGGAAGCCACCGGCTTCGGCCTTGGTTTACAATTAGTACACACCACTCAATTCCACCTGCACACAAATTCTGATGCAGATCGGGTAGGAGAAATTTATGAAGTGGCCTGAAAAGTTGAAGAAGAACCCCCATAGGGGGAACCCCAAAAACTACTACAAGTTCCACCTAGGTACCGACCACGAACCGATGACTGTTTTGATTTAAGATATGAGATAGAGTCCCTCATTCATTGGGGTCACCTTAAGCAGTACGTCGGAGGCAAGGCCGGCGCCTCGTCCTCTCAGCAGCAGTAGCACCACCACCAACAAGCAGTAGGCGTCATTGATGTCATAGTGGGAGGTACAGCCTCGGGTGGAGCCTCGGCCTTGGCTCGCAAAGCCTATGCCAGGCAGCTGAACATCTAGGGGCCGACCCCTAAGAAGTAGAAGAAAGAACCCCTCTCCTTTACGGACGAGGACTTGAAAGGGGTGGCAGTCCCCAATGACGATGCATTGGTGGTTTCGGTCGTCATTGCAAACTTCGTAGTCAAGAGGATCCTTGTTGACAGTGGCTTCTCAGCCGACATCCTTTTCTACGAAGTTTTTGAAAAAATGAAGATAGCTCTGGAGTGCCACCAACCAGTAGACGCCCCACTAGTTAGCTTCTCTGGTAGCATCGTTAAACCAGAGGGCAAGATTTCCCTACCAGTCACTGTTGGGACGGAGCCCCAACAGGTGGCAAGGATGACAAAGTTCCTAGTCATGAAGATTGACTCACCCTACAACGCCATCATGGGGAACCAACTCTTCACGCACTTTGGGCAGCCATCTCCCCCTACAACCTCGCCTTGAATTTTCCCACCAAGCACAGCGTTGGAGTTGTTCGCGGGGACCAGCATGCCACCCGTCATGGGGAACCAAATCTTCACGCACTTTGGGCAATGCTGAAGGGCAAGAATAAAGAAGCTCTGCCACTAGAGGGTCTCGACCTTAGGGATGAGCCAGTGAGTCGAGGACCTCGTCTTGGTCCCCTTAGACGAGGACGAGCCCGACAAGGCAGTCCGCGTCGGGTCCAACCTTACCCCCGAGAGCCTAGCTGAAATGGTAAGTTTCCTTAGACTCAATCTTGACGTCTTTGCTTGGTCCGCCGCTAACATGCCCGGAATTGACCCCTCGGTCATTACACATAGGCTGAGTGTGGACCCGAGCTCTAGGCTAGTTCGACAGAAGAAGAGGAACTTTGCACTGAAGCGTTGGAAGGCCATAGAGGAGGAAGTTGAAAAGTTACTCGACTCTGGCTTCATTTGAGAGGTACACTACCCTAACTGGTTGTTAAATGTGGTTATGATAAAGAAAGATAATGGGAAATGGCGGATCTATATTGATTTCATAGACCTTAACCAAGCCTGCCCCAAGGACAGTTTTCCTTTGCCAAGGATAGACCACCCCGTTGACGCCACTACAGGGTACGAGCTACTTAGCTTCAAGGATGCCTTCTCCGGATGCAATCAGATAAAGATGCACCTAGATGATGAAGAGAAGACCTCGTTCATCACTGAACATGGCACATACTGCTACCGTGTGATGCCCTTCGTCCTTAAGAATCCTGGGGCCACCTACCAGCGCCTTGTCAAAAAGGTGTTCAAAGAATAGATGGGGAGGAACGTCAAAGCCTATGTAGAAGACATGGTAGTGAAGAGCCTGAAGGCCGAGATCCCCGTCTCGGACCTATCCGAGACCTTCGACACCTTGTGGAAGTACAACATGAAGCTCAACCCCAGCAAGTGTGCCTTCGGCGTCAGAACACTCACTGGCCGTATAGCAGCTCTCAATCGCTTCATGTCAAAGTTAGTCGACCGCTGCCTACCCTTCTTTCATACCATCAAGAAGTTGAAAGAGTTCCAATGGACGGATGAATGCCAATGCACCTTTGATGAGCTCAAGGTGTACTTTACTTTGTCTCCCCTCCTCACCCGACCAACTGAAGGGGAAACTCTGTACCTGTACCTTTCGGTCGGGGATGAAGCAATTAGTTTAGTCCTCATCAAGGATGATAGAGTGCAAAAGCCAATTACTATGCCAGCAAGGTCCTCTGCGACATTGAAACCATGTACCCTGAGGTAGAGAAGGGTAAGGTCCTCCGGCCATACTTCCAAGCCCACAATGTAGTGGTCCTGATGAACCAACCCCTCAAGGCTATCCTTGCCAAAGCTGAGGTCTCGGGACGCTTGACAAAGTGGGCCTTCGAGCTGTCTAAGTTTGACATCCAATACCAGCTGAGGCCTGCGATCAAGGCACAAGCCCTGGCAGGTTTCATAGTAGAATGAACCTTTAGCCGATCCCTTCGCCAAGCCCCGGAGGAACCTAAGGGGGATTGTGTGGATGACAAGGCTCAATCTCGATGGAAGCTCATTGTCGACGGCTTCTCCAATGCTAAGGGAAGCGGAGCGGGCCTCATCCTCCTCACCCCAGATGATGTTGTCTTGGAATACAAACTAAGATTCGACTTCCTAGCATCAAACAACGAAGCTGAGTATGAGGCCCTCCTCGTTGGTTTCTAGCTTGCTAGGGACCTTGGCTCCTTACACGTCGAAGCCTTTAGTGACTCTTACCTGGTGGTGAATCAAGTGAATGACAATTACGAGGCTAGAGAACAAAACATGTTCAAGTACCTCACCAAAGTCCAAGATTTAGCCCGCCACTTCCAATGTTTCTCCTTGCAACGGGTTTGGCGAGTCGAGAAC